TTTAAATGCAAATCCTTTTGTATCTTAAATAGAATAGCGGAGCAGAGAAAAGAATTATTTCAAAAAATGGAGGGTGCTCGCTGTAATTAGGGTGAACAGAATAATACAACTACAAAAGTCACAAGGTACTTGATGAGTAATTGACTCCATTTGGCACTACCCATTTTTTTGGCTAATTTATCACTTATACACTTAAAGCATTTGTTTCACTGAAAAAAGTCTCTCTTTGTCCCTCTTGAATGGCCATTCTTGTTTGTCAGGCATTCTTGTTACAACAGCACAAAATAATTGATTATTTGAATTGTATCTTCTAAACTTATTTCTTCAGCAATGAGTACTGTTAATTATGTACAGTCAGCAACTTCTAACAAGAAAGCACACTCTGAATTGCAAGTTGTGTACTCATTTGTACGACACTGCACAGTTACAACATTTACACATTAATCACTAATTTAGTCTAATAATTCAACTGAAGTAATTAAAAGTATTCTTTTAATGTTGTGATAATTGTAAATAATGTCCAATCATCCTTTTCTTTTGAGAACATAAATAAGTGTTGAATCTCTTTCCTTCAAATTGTGAAATAGTTTTAGATGTTAAAAACGTGATTTAAAATAAATTCTATTTATGTTTCCTCTCAATCTAATCCTTATTTCCCTCTCTAGTTTCCATCCTGTAACTGATTTGACAGTGAATTCATCCTCATTCCTTCTTTATGCTTTCTCAGTTTATACCTCAAATAATAGGATCAGGATACCGGGTTGGTCCCAGCATTCACCCAAGGTTCTCCTGGATTCCACCTACAATAGTTTTGTGTGCAAAATATTGAATCAAATAATCAGTTATGACCAAAACCAAAGCCACGCCAGCAGTGTTTTTTTTTCTCCACTGGGTACAAAATGATGCATCATTCATTTCATTTCTTTAAATATATTGGACCAGAATTTGTTGAAACATGGCATCTTGTGCTGTACTACACTAGCCAACTTACAATTGCAAAATCAATCCTCAATATCTTATTTTGACTTATTCAATACTAAGGTGCCAGATCCCTCAATATCGAAAAGTGCATACTAAAATTGTCCTCTGGGTTAAACAGGAATCTATGTTGTGATTTTATTCAGTCCCAATAAAGCATTGATCAGGAAAAAAGAAATAACTCAGCATATGTCCATACAAATGTGATCCTTAATATTCTATTCAGACAATAATAAATTACTTTACAAATATCTCTGAATTATTGGACTGTTAAAATGATTTAATTTGGAGCCAAAACCACTCATCTGAATAAGGGTCACGGGACTCAAAATGTGAAATGATTTTCTCCTCAGATGCTGCATAACTTGCTGAGTTTCTCCACCAATTTCTCTTTTTGTTTGAGATCTCCAGCATCCACAGTTCTTTGTTTTATCACTCATCTCAAAGATGCAATGTGGCTTATACAGAAGATTCTAGTTAAGGGTGGAACCTATTGCTGAGCCCTTGAAAATAACTGCATTAAAAAAAAAAACTGTAATATTTTACTGCTAAAACATTGAGAGATCATGGGGAAATTTCTGTCACAGAACTAACACAGAATCCCCCACTATCAATATTTTTGGTGGTTGTCATTGACTAAAAACTGAGCTACACCAGCGATATGCATACTATGGCTATAAGAAAAGGTGCATTTAGCTATCATATAGCAGAGGAGCAGAAGTAGGCTATTCAGCCCATCGACTTCTCTCTGCCATTCAATGAGATCATGATCATTATCAAGTCTTTTTCCTCATATACCTGGATTCCCTTTAATTAAAATTTGTCTATCTCATCCTTGAATATAATTAATAATCCAGACTCAACAGCCCTCTGTCATAAACATTTCTACAGATTCACAACTCTCCGGAAAGAAGTTCCTTCTTATCTCTATTTTATATATGCAAACTCTTATTCTGAGATTATGCCCTCTGGTCCAAGATTCTTTAAGGATAAACAACCATTCTGCATCTACCCTGTGAAGTCCTCTAAGAACTTTGCATGTTTCAATAAGTTCACCTCTCATTCTTCTACTTCCAATGAGAACAGGCCAATCTACTCAACTTTTCCTCATAAGTCAGAATCAGCCTAATGAACTTTCTCAGGAATATCTCCAGTGTATCTTTAACAAAAACAGAAATTGCTGGAAAAAAAAACTCAGCAGGTCTGGTAATATCCAGGGGAGAAAAATCAGACTTAACGTTTCAGATCCTGAAAAAGGGTCACTGGACCTGAAATGTTAACTCTGCATTCTCTCCACAGATGCTGCCAGACCTGCTGAGTCTTTTCCAGCAATTTCTATTTTTGTTTGATTTCTAGCATCTGCAGTTCTTTCACTTTTTTTTGGCCAGTGTGTCTTTTCTTAGATAAGGGGCCCAAAACTGTTCACAGTTTCCAGCTGTGGTTTGAGTGGATCCTTACATAGTTTTAGCGAAACTTCCCTGCTTTTATACTCCTTCTCCTTTGACATAAAAGCCAGCATTCTATTTGCCTTCCCTATGATCCACTGAACATGGATGCTAGCTTTTGTGATTCATGAATGAGGAGTCCCAAATCCATCTATTCTGTAGCTTTCTGCAGTCTTTCTCCATTTAAATAATATTCAGCTCCTGTATTCTTCCTGCCAAAGTGCATAACCTCACAGTATTGTCGAGCTGTCAAAATTTTGTCTACTTAATTAATCTGTCTATATCCCTCTGCACTCTGTCATCCTCACCGCTTTCCTTCCCACCTATTTTTGTGTCATCTGTAAACTTGGTTATAGTACATTCACTTTCTTCATCCAAGTCACTAATATAAATTGTAAATAATTAAGGTCCTGGCACTGTGGCACACCACTAGCTGCAGGTTGCCCTATGCCCTACATAAATTAGTAATTTCAATTAATCTTTAGACATGTATGCACTCATTGCTCTTGAAGGGACTGGAGCATCTCAGAACCTCAGTAGTGAATATGTTATGAATAAGTTGTGAATCTGTAGAAATGTTTGTGACAGAGGGCTGTTGAGTCTGGATTATTAATTATATTCAAGGATGAGATAGACAGATTTTAATTAAAGGGAATCCAGGCATATGAGGAAAAAGACTTGATAACGATCTGCTGTTCCAGGTTATATTAGCACACAAATAAATTGCTCCTATTTGAAGAAGAAAATAAGTTCAGAAGAGCTATTAAACCAGTGATGACAAAAAATACAGAGCAGTAGGATTTAAGTTTCAGAAATATTTAAGTTTATAGCATTTGCTGCAGCATATCATGGAGTAAAAGCCACAAGTCATGTAGAACAGTCCTTGAGCAACACTTGTTCAGAAGCACTAATCATGGCACTGCTGGTTTCCCTATTCCCCCATTCGGCCTGCCAACTGATCCACAAAAACGGAAAAGAAAATTAAACAACAGCCTGCTGTCAGCGAGTGCTTCAATTATACCTCACCAGAAACTGGTGAATATGGCTGCACATACTGCTACACAAGAACCCTGTGAACTCAAATGTTTATTTGTTAAAAATGAAAAGTCACTCATCCTGCTGCAACGAAGCTGAAAATCCACTGCATGAAGTAACTTAATTTTCCTTTAAGATACCATAATACATGAGACTCTAACTGCTGAAAATTATTGAGATAATTTTAAAAAGAACATATTCATGATCTACAGTAGGATGATTCTTTCTTACAAGTTTTATAGGTTTATAGTCACAATTGTTCTCAAAATTTATTCACGAGCTGTTACTGCCACTTTTTGCCCATCCCTAATTGGCCAAGGGGCATTGCTGTGGGTCTGGTAAGGATGGCAGCTTCCTGGCCTAAACAATATTAGTAAAGCTGATGGATTCTTCAGACATTTGGCAATGCTTCTTGGCTATCATTAGACTCATAATTCCAGATTTTTTTTTTTAAATTGAATTCAAATGCCAACATTGGTCATAGCAGGAGTCAAACATTCTGGGTCCCCCGAACATTAACAGTCGAGCAATAATACCACTGGACTATTGCCTCCCCATGCTCCTTATTTATCAAGTGATGGCAATAGATTAAAAAGCTTCAAGCTTCAGAAAATAAGAATTGAAGAACCATTTTCCTGGAGCTCTTGAACATCACTGAAACCCCACTATCAACATCCTGGGTGTAATCATTGACCAGAAACTCAACTGGACTTAGCACATAAACACAGTAGCTACAAGAGCAAGTCAGAAGCTAGGAATACGGCAGTGAATAACTCACCTCCTGACTCCTCAAAGCCTGTCCACCATCTACATGGCACAAGTTAGGAGTTTGTTGGAATATTCCCCACTTGCCTAGACGAGTGCGGCCCCAACAACACTCAAGAAGCTTGACACCATCCAGGACAATGCAGCCCGCTTGAGTGGCACTACATTCACAAGTATCCACTCCCTCCACCACAAATGCTCGGTAGCAGCAGTGCATACTATCTGCAAGATGCACTGCAGAAATTCTTCAAAGATCCTCAGACAGCACCTTCCAAACCCACGACCACTTCTATCTAGAAGGACAAGGGCATCAGACATATGGGAACACCACCACCTCCAAGTTCCCCTCCAAGACAGTCACCATCCTGACTTGGAAATATATCACTGCTCCTTCACTGTCCCTGGGTCAAAATCCTGGAATTCCTTCCCTAATAACATTGTGGGTCAACCCACAGAAGGAAGACTGCAGCAGTTCACCACCACCTTCTTAAGGGCGACTGGTGATGGACAAGAAATGCTGGCCAGCCAGCGACGCTAACATCCCACAAATGAATAGAAAAAACTCTTCTCTTATTCACAGAAATACAGAAAGCCCTCTCAGAAACCAGACCATCTTAAGACTATGACAATACCATTATTCTATAAAATATATTAGATATAAAACAAGACAGATCCGGTAGCCTGTTATATTCTTCATCACGAACGCAGTCACAATATTCTAAAGACAAATATTTAATTCCTTGAGACTAAATCTTTAAAATATTAAAGTAAACTAACCTTTTTGTCCTTTGACATACTTCTCCCTGCAGTTCTGCATCAGTTGTAGAATCCATTTGTGTTGAGCCATGATACACTGCCAGGCAGGCTCACCTGGTGCATGGAGATCAGATAGATATCTGTAGCCAATGTCAAAATATAATGATTAAAATCAACTGTAAACTGCAAAACCATGACCATTTTCATTTTGAGCCAGGTATGACTCCATATAACAAACATGGTAAGAGTACACAATACAGAATTCATGAGATACAGCCCGAGGACTGATTGGACCAATAGATGATTTTTAAAAACAAAATATTCACTCATGAGATGTCAACTGGTTTGGCCAACATTTATTGCTTTTTTCTAATTGGCCTCGAGAAGATGGTAGTGAGCTGCCTTTTTGAACCCAGTGCAGTCCTTTGGATGCAGGAACACCCAAAGTGCTGCCAGGAGGGAGTTCCAGGATTCTGAATCAACAACAGTGAAAGAACAATGCTATAACACCATGAAATATAGGAGTAGAATTAGGCAATTCAGCCCATCAAAACACTCTGCCATTTGGTCATGATTAATTGCCTATAATCTTTGATCCCCTTACCAATCAAGAACCTAGCTATCTCTTGGGAGATAGCTTGGGAGGGGAATTTTCAGGTGATGATACTCCAGTACCAATGTTTTAGAGACAGCGCTTTGGAAAATGCTGTTGAAGGAACTCTGACAAATTAGTGCATCGTATTTTGTAAACAGTGTACACTGCTGCCATTGTGCACCAATGGTGAAGTGAATAAGTGTTGAAGGTGGTGGGTGGGGTGCCAATCTAGCAGGCTGCTTTGTCCTGTATGGTGTTGAGTTTCTTGAATGTTGTTGGAGCTGTACCCAAAACAGCTCCAGATCTGTGCCTTGCAGATGGTGGACTAGCATTTTGGAGACAAGAGGTGAGTGACTCACCACAAAATTCCTAGTTTCTCACCCGCTCTTGTAGCCATTGTATGCATATCGCTGGTGTAGTCAATGACAACCACCAAAAATGTTGATAGTGGGGGATTCTGTATTAGTAGAGGATGATGGTTGGATTCTGCCTTGTTGGAGATGGTCATTGCCTGGTACTTGCACGGTGCAAATGTCACCTGCCACTTATCAGCCTTGAATGATGTCTAGCACATGCTGCATTTGAACATGGGCTGCTTCAGTATCTGAGGCGTATCTGAGTGGTGCTTAAATTTCACAATCAGCGAACATTCCAATTTCTAACCATATGATGGAGTGAAGGTTAGGAACTCCTGCAGCTGAGATCATTGACTTCCAACAACCGTAACCACCTTCATTTTCTTAGGTATGATCCCAGCCAGCTGGATGCTGCTGAGGGTTCGCAATACATCATAGATGTCCAGCTGTGAGCTGTTACATGGATTTGAAATCTGTCTCATTTAGAACACGATAACCCTCCCCCATCTGTTGCAAACCAGGTCTAGTATCTAAGCCCTTTAGGACTCAACCAGTTTGATCAGTAGTGGCACTGCTGAGCCAAACTTGGTGATTCATACTGAAGTCCCCGAACAGGTGTACAGTCTGTGCCCTTACCACACTCAGTGCTACCTCCATGATATGGTGGATAATAGTGAGAAGTGCAAACCAGGAGATTTCTTTGCCTACGTTTGATCTGCTGTCATGAGGCTTCATCAGGTCCAAAGTTAATGTTAATATCTCACAGGGCAACTCCTTCCTGACTGTATTCCAGCAGGCTGCCAACTGTGATGGGTCTGTCCTGCTGGTGAAACATGACATACCCAGGGGTGGTGATGGCAATGTCTGGGACATTAAAGGTATGATCTGAAGTATGTGCATGGTTGAGCTTCGCAGGCTTGTGAAGAAATATTGGAGAATCATTTGAGGACTCCCTGATAAATGCTCGAATTAGGGTTACAGCATCAATGGAAGTGAAGAATGTGTTTTGAAGATGATGTTAAGCAATCGTGGGAATGGGCTTGGTTGCACAGTTTGAGACAAAACTCAACATGCAGCAGGACACTGATGCTGTACTGAACCTGAATGAGAATACATTATGATAAAAAGGAAATAAAACAAGAGGCTGAAAATGCAGAGATTCTGACAAATGGGATGATTTCAGTTTTGTCACTGCAGAACTGCAGAAACCCTGGTACAGAGTGACTTGACTACAGGCAGACAATGATAAGCACACCTAAAATTGTGAATTGTTAAGTAGTAGTGAATAGGTAATAGATGTTAAAGTTCACTCGCCATTCCTGGAGTTTATAATAGTGAGTAGCAACATATTGTTTAGGAACGGAAAGTTAAGAATGGAACTTTGGATCATACCAAAAATGGCCTTGTGGATATGGGCCAAGGAATCTTTCAGAAGTATTCTCAAAGAATTGCTCCCCTACCATGACCTACTAATTTTGGGACAGAAGGGTTTAAAAAAAAAAAGTTTTTGCCAAGCTACTCTTTCTAACTTTGTGACAATACAGATAAAAATCACAATATCTCAGAATTACTGCAGTACAGAAGGAGGTCACTCAGCCCACTGTGCCTGCACCAGTTCTCTTACCTAGCCCAAAGTTCCTTATGTCATGCCCTCAAATGCATAAATTGAACCTGCCTCCGACAAATTTCCAGGAACTCCATTTCATATCCAAACTACTTGCTGTGTGTTAAAGATTTTTTTTCCACATATCACCCCCACTTGGTTCGCACACCAATTCAAATCCATGCCCTTATTCGGTTTTTTTTATGGGCAGGAATTGCTTCTCTCTATCTACCCTATCCAGCCTACTCTCGATTTTGAAAGCCTCTATCAAATCTCCTCTCAACTTTCTTTTCTCCAAGGACAATGGTCCGAAATTCTTCAATCTATCCTCATAACTTAAGTTTCTCATTCCTGGAATTATTCTTGGAAATCACATCTGCACTTTCTCCAATGCATTCATATCTTTTCTGGATTATACACAATATGCCAGCTGAAGTCTAACAAGAGCCTTGTACAGGTTCAATACCTCCTTGCTCTTGTACTCTGCCCCTACTAATAAAGCCAAGACACTATATCCTTTATTAACTGCTCTCTACACCCGTCCTCGCATCTTAAATGATCTGTGCATCTATAGTCCACGTCCCTCTGCTCCTGCACCCTCTTTAGAATTATACCCCAGTTTACACTGTCTTTCAAAGTTCTTCTGAACAAAGTGCGTCACCTCATATGCATTGAACCTCATCGACCAGCTATCAACCCACTCCACCAACTTAGCAACGCCTTTTTGAAGTTCCACACTGTCCTCCTCAGTTTACAGTTCTGCCAAGTTCATAGCCATCTGCAAACTTTAGAAGTGTCCCCTGCTCACAAAGATCAATATCATTAATACAGAGCAGGAAATGCAAGGGTTTCAACACTGACCTCGAGGGAACTCCACTACAAACCTCCTCCAGTCCACAAATAGTTTCATCAACTGCTGATGCACTCAGCTCTCATTTTCCTGGCTTCAACATTCTTATTTTCCCTTTTTTATTTTTCTCGCTCCTTTCAGATTACCTCCTGCAAATCAGACGGCAAGAAAGGAAAACTGGAAAGACGGTCTTCATCAGAACTTTTGACAGTCTGTAAGCAACCAATTCAGAAACACATTAGAGTCTGGGTCACCTGCTTGCTCCTTCAGCCACAGCCAGTACATGCCCTGAGAATTTCAAACCCTTTTAAAAAAATAAATGAACATTTGAAAGTAAAATATTTACTTAGCAAATTCGCCTCATTGACAGACAATGCACCTTTTCTATCTCCAAAACCACCTGAATATATAACTTTATGTAAGAATAACACCTCAGAAAATGTTCAATAAATTAACTCTAAAAATACTTAACATTCAGTTTGATTCTCCGAAATCTGCACATTCAATTAGCAATGTTCCAGCATTCTGTGAACTTTACTTCCTACCAACTCAGACTTTAGGATGTTTACAGCATTATTTTGCATGTCATCCAAGTAGTTTTAATGACAAGAAGTGGCTGAAGAAAGCGCTCATTTATCTAAACAGTGCACAGCCAATGTTCACACCTGAGTTCTGAGATTAATGCTAATGACTTAACACTTAAGCTAAATTTCCCTGACCCACAATCAAGACCATGATGTTGGATTGTCTGTCCAACCCAAAAGACTAGCTAAGTTTTCAGAGTATACCATAAACTCCGCTTTCTTGCTGAATAAACAATTGCATCATCTCAGCATCATGCTTAACCCAGAACTAAGCTTCAGATCCCACATCCTCAATAATACCAAGACCATTTATTTCCACCTTCACAGCATTGCCTTCCATTACTTCTACTCAAACATTCCCTTCTTTTCCAGGCACGGTGACTCCAATGTCCTCTTGGCTTGACTTTCATCCTCCATCCTTCATAAATCCCAACAAAACAAATTTAAACTGTTTGCCTTAGTCTTCAATTCACACCTCTGTCCAAGCATTATTTACAGCAACCACACATCATGCCCGAAACTGTGGTTCTCAGTCTATGCATTCTCCAACATTTCATCCTATCTTTGGCGGCTGAATGTTAAGTTGCTTCAACAGTACTCCCAAATTCCTTTAAACACCTAGCCTTCAGAAGGCTCCCAAACTCTTACACAGTTGTGTGCCTTTGCTACACAGATTTTTTTTAAAGTGCCTTAAAACATTTGCTACTAATGTGCATTTTGTAAATCCAATATTTGCCATGGTAAAAATACGCTTATCCTTTATTTTAAAAGCAATATTTTTGGAGGCTGGAAATCTGAAACAGAAACTCCTGGGAATATTGAATAAATCAGGAAATGTCTGTGGAGAAAGAAACAACGTTATTGTTTCAGGTCTGTGACTTATCAGAAGAATTGTTAACTCCATTTCTGTCTCACAGATGATGCCTGACCTGTTGAGTATTTCCAGTACTTTCGTTCTACTTGTTCAATTACAGATTAAGTACTTAACTTCACTCAACTATTGAATAGAGGAGACCGGGTCAATGAACATTTTCAAGGCATTGGTGGATAGAATCTAACAAGGGAGACAAAAATTATTTTTTTTTTGGGGGTGGGGGCGGTGCGGGGTTAGGTGGGAGTCAGGAGTTGGGCCCACAATTAGATAACCAAAAT